AGAGAGAGAGAGAGAGAGAGAGAGAGGAGAGAGAATTTTTTAATATTTATTTTTCAGTTTTTGGTGGACACAACATCTTTATTTTATTTTATGTGGTGCTGAAGATCAAACCCAGCGCCCCGTGCATGCCAGGCGAGTGCGCTACCGCTTGAGCCACATCCCCAGCCCAAGGAATTATTTTTTACTAGATTAAAAAAAAACCATTTGTTTTTCCATGTTTGCCTAAGCAAATCGGTGATACCCAACCTCAAAATAAAAAGGGCTGTGGTATATTTCAATGGTAAAACACCATAGGTTCCATTTCCAGTATCAAGAAAAAGATAGAAGACCAAGCATGTGGAGAAATAAGCATCTCAGCACATCTTAAGTTCTGTTAGTAAAGATACATTGGAGGCTGAGGCTGTAGATCAGTGGTAGAGTGCTTGCCTAGTGTGTGTTGGGGGCCTTGGGGTCCAATCTCCAGCAAAGGGAAAGAATGATACATCGGAGTGGCTCTTCTATTATTTCTACAATAGCATTTAAAGATCCTCCTAATACTTTTGTAGTGACACTCCAAAGATACCGTTTTCTAGAATCTGAACTGCTACAAACAAATTGTTCTGGTTTCCTCCACGCTTTTTGCCAAATGTCTTGCATTTGTAATTTGCCAGATGCCTGCACAATCCCTCCGTAGTCATCAATTCAGTGGGTGTGCACTGGGATCTGGAGCCCGCGGTGCAGGAGAGTTGTCTCGGCTTGGTTTCTTTAGGCTGACCAACCAAGCGGTAGCTCTGGATGGCCAGGGCATAGCTGCCTATGTCTGGCGGGGAGACACCAGAGTCTGCGCGCCGCACTGCCTGGCCAGGGCCCAAAGGGGCTTGCAGAGGCGCCCCAGCAGCGGCACTTCACTGCCGCGCTCCCGCTGATCGCCGCCAGGGGACGCGCGAGGCCGGGAGCTGAGCGACCGCTTTGCAGTGATTCCGGGGCGGGGCCGCACGGGGGCGGGGCTTAGAGGGAAGGGGCTGGCCGGGGCGGGGCCTCTGAGGGGCGGGGCCTCCCGGCGCGCGCTCAATCCTCCTTTCCTGCCAGTTTCCTCCTCTCCCTGCTCCGACGTCCAGTCCTTGCGGCCCTCTGCCATCCTTTGCACCGCCACTTCACCCACGCTCCTCTGCGTCCCCCTCCTTTCCAGTCTCCTTTGCACCTGCCTCCCCGTTTCTGGCCTCGAGCCCGCTCTTCGCGGGCTTTAAACCCTCTTTCCCAGGCCTCCTTTGCACCCTACACGTTCGCAGGTTCCTTTGCACCCCCCCCCCATTCTCGTGCCCTCAACCCCTAGTTCAGGCTCATTTCAGATGATCTTTCAGAGAAAGGCGTGGGCCAGGGCGGAGACAGTGACTCCTTCACGAACATCTAGTCCAGTTCCACGTTCAAGAATGGGAAGACTTGACAAAGGAACATGGAAGTAGCTAAAGTGTAAATTGTTTCTGCCTTTTTGAGCCGCACCCTTCCCCAAACCCAGCCACCCAGGACCTGGACACAGATACACTCCAGCCCAGGGCAGGACAGAAAGGGACCAGCCTGAGGTAGGATGTCTCTGGACCAGGGTGGGGAAGCCAGGTGGACTAGGTGCTGCAGGAGCTGCTTTCTGTGCTCATGCAGAAATGCCTCTACATCTCTGTCATCATCAAGAAAAGGCAGTGACCTGTGGCACAGCGCTCAAGGGCAACTGAGCAGAGCAGAACCTCAAAGGGGTTCTGTGCTTCACAGGTTCCTGCCTTCATGTCACCCTTGAGACTTCAAAGCTCAGCCTTCATCCTGCTTCCTGTGTTGCCTCAGGCAGAATCCTTGGCCTCAACTCAGGCCTTGGAGAAGAACCCGTGAAGCGTGGGCAGGGCCTCAGAGGGCCCAGGGACTTGCACCTTGATCCCTGAACTGTGTGTAGTCTCTTGATTCATTCATTCCACTGGTGGTTTCTTGAGTACCTACTGAAGCAGGCTTTGGGGACACAGTTGTGAATAGGACATCCAGATGCCTGTTCTTTTGGAGACCCCAGTCTACTGCGGATGTCAATGACACAATGGTCTGTGCTGAGCACTTTACCCAGAAGACCCTGGTGGCATCCGGTGGGTGGGGGGGGTGCCAAAGAGGAACAGCATGGCTTTTTGTCCAATCCCAGTGTGGCTGTTTGGAGAATGAGAAGCCAACAGGGGACAGCATGGGGAACCTGTTTCCCTGATACTGTGAGCCTTGCTCCAGCTTCTGATTGTGATGTGACAAAGGCTTATGACTGAGGCGGGGCAGCTGCCAGGCAGCCCTGGGAGATGATGGGGCAGCCAGGAAACAGAGGGGCAGAGTAAGTGAACTCCGTGCCCCTACCCCAGTCCTCTGACATCTTGGGAAACAGTAGCCCAGAGGTGTAGGAAGATGCTGACTTAAATGTTCCCGGGCACCCCAGTCTGGCCAACATGGCTGAAATACACACTCCATATTCTTCCTTGAAGAAAACGTTATCTTTACTGAATGGCTTCGTGACTGTAAGTATGTCACAACTCAGGCCCTGGGACTTTTCAGCCCTTCCTCCACGTCCAGGTCCCTGAAAGACAGAAATAAGTTGATCCAAATTGGCCTTCAGATCTGTGATCCCCGGGGAAGCAGAAGAGATGTAGGGCAGGCTGTTGGGGAGCTGGCACGTTGGAAACAGGTGAAGGCTTGGATCGACTCAGAGCTGGTGAAATTAGCACAGATGCACATGATCTTGGGGACCGCAGATCTGTGATGAAAGGGCTCAGCTCTGAACCGAATCCTGCAGAAAATAAAAAAATTTTTTTTGGAGGGGGGAAGACCAGGAGGGAATGATTAATTTCTTTTCATTCTCTCAGTTTTTGGTGCTGGGGCTTGAAGCCAGGACCTCATGCATGCTAAGCACACACGACCACTGAGCTACACCCAAGCCCCTTATTTTCTTGATCTTTCAATTTTTTCAAAACATTTTTTCTTACTGTAAAATAACCCAAAGTGTGCATTGTTAGAAAAGTAATTGTGTTCATTGTAAAATAGGGTAAAGAAAAGTTGCCAAGAAGGAGAAGCAAATTAGATATCACTTCTCATCTTGACAACGGTATTGTAATATTTTGATGGGAATTCAATGCATCAATGCATTTGAAAGGCTTAGCCTGTCAGGGAGTTGTCATTCTAGAAATATCATCATCATCTTTAAATCCTTCCAGGCTTTTCCATACACCTTTAAAAAAACAGTAGACAAACATGTAACGTTGCTTTACAATCCACCTTAAAACATCAACAAAAAAACAAACAAAAAACGGCATAGTAAGGGGTTGGAGATGTAGCTCATTGGTAGAGCACCTCCCTAGAATGAGCAAGGCAGACAAAAAGAAATTACTTGAAAGCACACGCCAGTGTGGCACACTCCAGTGGTTCGGGAGGCTGAGGCAAGAGGATTGCAAGTTCAAAGCCAGCCTCAGCACCTTAGTGAGGCCTGTATCTAAGTAAAATATTTAAAAGGACTAGAGGGCTGGGGATATAGCTCATTGGTAGAGTTCTTGCCTCACATGCACAAGGCCCTGGGTTCAATCCCCAGCACCACCAAAAAAAAAAAAAAAAAGGGCTAGGGACGTGACTCAGTGGGTAAGCGCCCCCAAGTTCAATCCCTGGTATAAACATATAAAAACAGCTTTCTGTGTCAGTCAATATGCTCATACAACAGGGTCAGTAAGCCACAGCCTGGCCTGCTATAAAGTGCTTTTGGGGCACAGCCATACTGCTTACCTTGTAGATTATGTGCAGATTGCTCCTTTCAAATGACATGAGCAGAACTGAGTAGTTTTAAAAGACATATTAAGACCTGCCAGGGCCATCATATCTGTGGGTTCTCAGAAACAAATTGCCCATCCCTGTCCTACAACATAACGATCCAGGATCCCAAAGCACGATTCCACCATGATTCACTCACCCCATCTGAGGTACTGGTTGCTTCAGTTATTTTAATTTTCTATTTCCATTAAAAACACTGTAACAAATATCTCTGTGTCTCTTGAGACACATCTATGACTATTTTCCTTATGCTGGGTATCTAGGAATGGAATTTCTAGATAAAGCCTTAAAAGGTAAAAATTTTAGGGCTGGATTGTGGCTTAGTGGAAGAGCACTTGCCTAGCATGTGTGAGGCACTAGGTTCGATTCTCAGCACTACGTATCAATAAGTGAAATAAAAGTCCACTGATAACTAAAAGAATATTTTTTAAAAAAGATAAACATTTTAAGGTTGTAAGTATGAATTATAGAGTTTCTTTCTACCTCCCTCCCCAACCACAAAGTGTGTTGCCTGGTGACAACTTATGAAAACCTTTCTACATCATCACCAGCTCTGAGTATTATCATTTTTTAAAAACATGTTTGCTGCTTTTATTGGCCTGTGTTTCCTTCTATCCAATCTGAGGAAAAGTTTTATCTGTATACACCGCAAGGACCATTCCACCCACCATTCTTATTTCTGTTCTAAAGGTGTCTGGCATAATCCTCATTGGCCTGGGCCTCAGTGTCAAGTATGGAGAGGCCACCCTGACGAGGGTCCTTGGATTGTCTTCTGCGTACCTCTTTCACTTTGGTTACCTGTGCCTGGTCATAGGCTGCATCACAGTCCTGCTTGGTCTCGCGGGGTGGTATGGAGCTACGAAAGAAAGCAGAAGCACTCTCTTTTTTGTAAGTTGGATCGGCACACACACCCCAAATGGCCCATGCCATGTACAAATCCTTCATTGCCTGTCTGACAAACCCCGTTGCTCAGTGTCCCCGATTTCAACTGTGTTTGGGATGTCTTGCTTCATGGCCACAGAGGCACCCATCTTTCCCTTTAGGATGTACCTTGTCCTGAATTCCTCCGATCCCCAAGGTTGTAAATTTTATTTGTCTGGTTTTTCTTCAAAAAAAATCTTGCTTTCTCATTTTTAGTTAGAGTCTGTATGTGTGGTGTGAGGTAGGGATCTGATTTCACACACACACACACACACCCCAGTGAGATACTGTCCCATGCATTGAGTGGCCCAGGCAGTCTTCCCTGACACACTTGGATCCGTTCTGCTGTGTTCTGTTGGTCCATGTGCCTGTCTTTTGCTGACAGAGAGCCACTGCAATCCCCGAACCGGTACAAGTTTATGGCGTAGGGACATTTCAGGTTTGATTGTGCAGCCGGCATGCCACTCCTTCGCACAGCCAGCCTTGACTTAGCATCTCTCCAGATGCCGGCTCTCCGCTTTCCCATTCCCATTTCATCTCGGATGCGCCCCCTAGAAGTCCATCTGAGCAGATTGTCCCCCCTAGGTTTAATCTGTCGCTAGCATATTGCTCTCCTTCTTCCACTGCATGACTGCAAAACATTGGTTATTTTATTTTGGGAATTTTCAGGGAGATGCCTAGTCTAGTCGCTTCTCAGAGCACAGATAACTGACTGTTAGAAGCAACCCTGGGCCTCGCCTAGATGGGCCTCTCAATTCCTTCCTTCCTTCTTTCCTTATCTTTTCCCCTCCCTCCCTCCCTCCCTCCCTCCCTCCCTCCTTCCTTCTTCCAGTGCTGGGATTTGAACCCAGGTCCTCCCTGCATGCTAGCTCTACCACTGAGCCACACTCCCAGCTCCCCGTTTTCTCTCAATGACCTCATTCCACAAATCCACAGGCTCCACGCTTGCAAAATTTCATTTTCGCTCCATAGTGAAGAAGCGGACACTGTTTTAGCCTTTGTTTGACTTGAAAGCATTCCAGCTCCTCTGTTTTCCCACTAACCTATCAGTAAATTCCATTAGCTTTACCCTCAGGATACGTCCCTGTCCTTCCAAAGCCTCCTGAGACTTCACTCGGGAAACAAAAATCTCTGGGGTGGCGTCCGATGGCCTCAACGCCAAGGCTCCAACGCGCCCTCTGGTGGCCGAGGGCGGAACAGCGTGTGGGGGCGAGGAGGCTAGACCCTGCCGCGGGGACAGACGAAGGGCGGGTTCTAAAGGTGGAGCCAGGAGGACTTGGAGACCCCCAGTGTCTGTCATCTGGACGCCTCCGCCACCCAGAGGCAGACACATTATTAGTTGTTACCAGCTGGTACTTGGGTCATTTAGCAGGGCTCCTGCAGCTGCTAAGCCCTGCACCTGTGTAGGCTTCATGGACTGTGGAAACCAGGACTCGTGTCCACTGTGCTTTCCTGCCTCTCCTTGTCAAGGCCAGAGAAGCCCTGCCTGTGGCCAGTCCGGCGACTCAAAGCATGGGTTATCAAATAGATGTTTAAAAATAGTAGCAACAATAACAGTGGGTACCGATGGGAATAGATGGGTGGGAAGCCAGGAGCTGAGCTTACTTGACCCCCGTGTGTCCTCAAGGTGGGTTACAGACCCCAGTGAAGCCCCTTGAGCTGGCCCCACTGCCACTTGTACCGATAGGGAAACGGAAAGCCCGAAGGAGGAAGGGGGTTCTCTGAGATGAGTGACAGCAGCATTTCCCATGGCTCTCTACCAGGCCTGTGAATTTTATCAGAAAGTTAATTCAGCAAATGTTACTTCCCCCCGGGCTCCAACTGACCTGGCATCAGCAACTTCCCTGAGTCCTGGTCTAAAATTTGTCACCCTTGCACCCCCCTCCAGTGCTGGGGATGGAACCCAGGGCCTCCCACGTGCCAGGCAAGCACTGTACCATGAGTTACCTGGCCCCCCGCCCTCTTCAAGTTTTATTTTTATTTTTTAACTTTTACACGTGTATTTTTAGTTGTAAATGAACACCATACCTTTATTTTGTTTATCTATTTTTATGTGGTGCTGAGGATGGAACCCAGTGCTTCACACGGGGGAGGCAAGAACTCTAGCGCTGAGCCACAACCCCAGCCCCCACGACATTTTTTTGAGACAGGATCTGCACTCAGTTGCTCAGGCGGGCCTCGAACTTACGGTTCTCCTGCCTCAGCTTCCAAGTAGATGGGTTTACAGACGCGAGCCAAGGTGCCCAGCGGATCCTTTCATCGTGCCTCTGCCTCTCCCCTGAGCTTGCCCTCAGGGCAGCCCGCTTTAAGGTCTCCTCTTAAGCCTTCCCAAAAGGGGGTCCAGCTAGCAGCTCCCCCAAATGCCCCACTGCTAGCATCCCACCGGCCTCCCATCCCCCACCCACGTGTGAATTCCTCCAAACTGGAGCATGAGAGACGTCTGGGATGGGAGGTGGGTGGGGGCACACAGCCCCCCGGATGTGGCAGAAGAGGCTCCCAGCCCCACGTTGTCCCCATCTGCCTTCCAGTGTTTCCTGCTCATGATTATCATTCTCATCCTGGAAATCACGGCGGCTGCGGTGGTCCTCGCTCTCTTCCGCATGGTGAGTGGCTTCTCCTGTTCCATTTCTGAATGGAACAGAAAAGCATAGAAGCCCCGCCTCCTGGGGCACCCACACTGGGTACCGGCCCCTAGATGGCAGAGATCCGCTGGTGGAGGGATTTGTGGGTCCCTTGGACCGGACGTGCCTCCAGAGACGAGGCACAAAGTCAAAAATTTCCCTTCCTAAAGGTCACAAGAAACTGCCAAGATCATTTCAGACCAGGTCGCCTGTGTTTGGTGCAGGGAAAGAGGGAGATGGGAATAAAGCCCTCCTTGTTGGGTTTTGAAAAAATGTTCAGAACAGAGGATTATTTTGCAAAACTCCTCAAAATAACAAAAGCTTGGGCACGTGCACCCCACAGTCTTGTTTCTGGAAATTGCCCAAGGATTTATTTGCTTAGGCGCAGAGTGACATATGTCATACCGGGGTGTGCAAAAGATTGCCAACAGCTAGGCGCAGTGGTGCGGGCCTGTGATCGTAGCTGCTCTCAGGCTGATGCAGAAGCATTGCAAACTCGAGACCAGTCTGGACAATTTAGCCAGTCCCACACCGGGGCTTGTGACACTGGAGACTGAACACACAGTGAGATTGCAAATAGCCCAGGGGCTTAGGTGAGTTGCAAGACATCCGCATACTGATGTCCGGTGCTCCCAGAAACAAGGAAGGGAGGCGGCTGACTGTGCCCAGGATGGGAGGTTCTCTAGGACAGAACACTGTCTTCATTAGCAGTCCCCCAGGAAGATTCAAAGGCATGTGGTTTATTGAGAGGCGATACCAGGAAGCACTTACAGGAGACAGGAGAAGTAAAGTGGGAAAGGAAAAACAGCCCATAAAAATGACACTGTGGGCCCCTGGGCTTGGTCCTGCTAGGGATGTCTGGGACACAAGGTAGAACATGCATCTAAGTTATTTCACTCCAGGGGCGAGGGAGCTGGAGTATTGATCCACCAACTCCATTCAGCGGCTGGTGCTGGGCAGGCGGCTCACAGGGAGCCTAGTCAAAGAGGCCACCAAGAACCGGCCCTTGCTGACAGTTGGAGGCCCGACCAGTGTGCCCAGAAATGACAGGGCACCGAGAACACCTGCTACTCTTGTTAGAGCAGCCAGATGCAGAACAGTGACAGCAGTTTCAAACCAGGAGAAAAATAATGAAAATATCCTCAGCTTTGACACACATCCAATATCTCTTTGGGGACACAGGAAACAGGAATAGTCATCGACATGAAGTGGGAGGAACTCTGGCTGGGAGAAAGAGGTGGGAGGTAGACACTTTTCATGATCTCCCCTTCTGGGCTTTGTCAGTTTTGAAGACGGGACTGGATCGCCTCTTTTGGGGGAAAAGAAAAAAAAAAGTAAACCTTTATTTAAATAATCAAAAAAATTAAGTTTCTCCCCTCACATGTGCCGAGAGGGATTTGGTTGGTGAGGATGAGACTCGGTTCTTGAATTAAGTTAGAGCCAAGCTGTGGGCGTAGCAGCTTGTGGGCGATTGGAAAGAGCAGATGATTCAAGTTCATTAGTGATGGGTACAACCAGATGCCCGTGGCTGCAGACCCACGCTCTGCCGTGTGTCCCCCTCCCCAACGGGCACCGTGACAGCCTGAATGTGTCCCCCTCTAGCACAGACCCACGAACCAAGGGTAAGAAAAGAGGAGATCCCCCGTCTCCTCTCTACCCACAAGAACAAACCCCCTCATGGGCCACCCTTGCTCTTTTGTGTGCTAATTGCCTCCGGTCTCATCTGCAAGGTTCGAGAAGTGGCCTTGGAGCACACCTTCATGACTCTGAGGAAGAATTACAGAGGTTACAACGAGCCAGATGACTATTCTGAACAGTGGAACTTGGTCATGGAGAAGGTGAGGTTCTCTTTAAAAAAAAAATTGTGGTAAAATGTATGCTACATAAAATTCACCATTTTTGAGCATCTAGGTCAGTGGCATGAAAGTCCATTCAATTCCGTCCCTCTCCAGAACTTTCCATCTTCCCAAGCTGAAACTTGGTCCTCGTTAAACACAGACTCCCCATTCTCCCTCCCCACCCCCCATTCTACTTTCTGCTTTCTGGTGATTCTGGGGACTTCCTGGGAGTGGCACCATGCAGTGTTCTCACCTTCTGTGACTGGCTTATTTTGCGGAACATAATTTTAAAGTTCATTCATACTGTGTCAGAATTTCCTTTTCAAGGCCAGATCAATTTGTTTATCCATTCATCTATCCGTGGACACTCAGGCCACTCCTGCCTTCTAGCTGCCAGGAATAAAGGCCATCACCGACACAGTGGTACAGGTATCTGTCCAAGTCCCTGCTTTTGCCTAGAAATGGAGTTGCTGGATCATATGGCAATTCTTTGTTTCATTCATTAATTTATTTTTCCACCAGGGGCATTGTGCATGCTAGACAAGTGCCAAACCCCCAGCTCTTTTTATTTTTTATTTTGACACAGAAGTTTGCTAAGTGGCTGAGGCTGGCCTTGAACTTGCAATCCTCCTGCCTTAGCCTTCCGAGGTGCTGGGATTCTAGGTGCTATGCCAGGCACTGTGTCTAATTTCTTGAGGAATTACCAGACTCCTCCACAGCAGCCACGCGTTTTCATTCCTACCAGCAACACACATGGAATCCAATTTCTGGGCATCCTTGCCAACACTTGCTGGGCAACATATTCTAAGTTGTTGTTGTTGTTGTTTTTAATGAATATATATATGATCATGATCCCAATAGGCATGAGGTGGTGAGACTCCCATCTTGTCCCTTGGTATTTAAGGAGCAGACAGGCCTGTCATCTAAGTTCTTGGGCCAGGTGGCTGAGGACAGTCTCTGGAAGGGAAAAGCCATCACCTGTTTCAGGTGGCACTTTATTTTATTTTA